AGAGATACTCTTGGTGCATCAATTCCTGGATGTTAATTGTTCCTCAGTTGCAAATGCAGTAGCTCACCTTGAAGCTTCTTTGCCAACCTGTCCGCAACCGGGCCCGGGCCCACCCCAGATTGAGATCTAGCACCCCCTCCTGAAATCCACCTAGCACCTCACCTTGAACCATCCTGAAAGGCACCAAGCCAGCCTCAAGTACGGGATACCCTGCGACGCTAAGCATGCCATTTCTCACAAGGCCGTTGTTTTCTCACGCGAAGCACCATTCAAAGAGGGTGCGGAATGAGTCATGTTGCTTCCCTACGTGCAGCATGCCCCAAAAAGAGTTCGCAGTTTTCACGCACTCATCAAATCAGCATCTTAATCTGGGCATATGTCAAAATTGTCAAAATTGGGGGGGGCCAGATATGCTGGTTTTCGTTGTGTCCCCTTTAAACCAGCGTGAAAAGGGTACCCGGAAACTGGAAACCAAACAACCACCCATTTCTCACTTGAAGGCCGGGTCTCCCGGCGCGACCGGCGGCTTTGCAGGCCCTGGCGCAGGCTTCAGCGTAGGCCTGGGACAGGAGTCGATGACATTCGCGCATAGCCCTAATTTGGAGTTCAAGCCAGCCTCATCTTGACAAAATATTCAGAGTACATCTGGTCTCACTTTCGAGTTTCTGGGTCCGGTGCCGGGACATACCCCCTGGTCCAAAACCAGAGGCTGGGCCGCCCTTAAACAAACATCCCAACAGGCACCAATCTACCTCAGCTCAACTGTAGATATGAACTGGACGAAGTGACTTCTTGGCTCTATGAGCTTCCTGGATCGACCTTCGCTTTGCATACTCATTGCCGACACAGGTGCTACACTTGGACCAATTTCCAAATAATATTACCCAAACAGCTCCATGAATGTCTGTGGGGATGAAACAGGGAAAGCCGATGACTCATGGCAAATGCTCCAAGCAGCTCTTCACCAGTGGAATCTTCCAGCCTTTGTCGGCGATACAAAAGCTCCAAGCCTCACCCTTGACAAGCCGCCCATGAAGCATGTGACTCTAAGCTCAATATCCAAACCAGTCTAAGGGTTCACGCTCCATACATTTCAGCCATTGGTTCTTCCAAACTCACCGCCTTCTCGGCAAGGGGCTTGATTCTGAACGAGGGATACATCTAGAGTCAAGTCCTTGGGTTCACGGCTTGCGGGAGTGTAGCTTAAGGTGATAAGGCAGCCTTTCATGAAGTGCTTGCAACTATGCGAGAGGCCCGTAGGTAGCATGGTCCGAGTCTCAAGCGCTTCTCCTTCTGCGGAAGTGGGCCTGGCGCTCGTGTGAACCCACGCGCGCTCGCTCACTCGCCTTATGTGTTTCTCAGAATCGTCCCCTGAGATTGTTGGCTTCCTCTTGGTTTCCTTTGCGCTAGCAACCAAAGAGGTGTCCACTGTTTTGAGAAACCCCATCTGGCCAGACCCCAGCACCTTGCCCTGCTTCCCTGCCCAAGCCACCCACACGCAATGCGCAATTCCACACCATATCCCATCCATCAAGAGACTGCCTGATGTAAGGCAACACAACGTACTAAACCAACCTCAAATATGGGATACCCTGCGACTTCACCTGATCTGTCGCCATTGCTTGAGCTCAGGCAGACTGGCGATCACTCTGCGCTTGGTCAACAAGCAGTTGGCCCGGGAGGATCCAACTGGGTGAGTACCAAAAAACCGAGCCGCCACTAATAGCGTGGATCTGTGTGGTTCCTTGTTAACACCATTCAAACAATGTGCGTAATCTTTGATGAGTCATGTTGCTTCCCTACGTGCAGCATGCCCCAAAAAGATTTCGCAGTTTCACGCACTCATCAAATCAGCATCTTAGTCTGGGCATATGTCAAAATTATGTCAAAATTGGGGGGCGCCAGATATGCTGGTTTTCGTTGTGTCCCCTTTAAACCAGCGTGGAAAGGGTACCCGGAAACCAAACAACCACCCATTTCTCACTTGAAGGCCGGGTCTCCCGGCGCGACCGGCGGCTTTGCAGGCCCTGGCGCAGGCTTCAGCGTAGGCCTGGGACAGGAGTCGATGACATTCGCCCATAGCCGCAATTTGGAGTTCAAGCCAGCCTCATCTTGACAAAATATTCAGAGTACATCTGGTCTCACTTTCGAGTTTCTGGGTCCGGTGCCTGGACATACCCCCTGGTCCAAAACCCGAGGCTGGGCCGCCCTTAAACAAACATCCCAACAGGCTAACTATGAAAGAATGTACCTCATCGCACATGCTATCAGCAGCTGTTCACCAGCGGATTTTTCAACCTTCGTCGGCCATAGGGAAGTGCGCGTTGCGTCAGAACCCAAAGCATTGGCCTTCACCGCAAGCGGCCGCCCGTGAAGCATGTTATTCTAGTGTAACATGATCTTCTGCCATTGGCTTTCTGCCATTGGAACCACATTCCCCAACGGCTGCGGCTGTCTGCTCAACGGAGGCAACTTTCCACGTCGCTTCAAAGGACTCAAAGCCCTTGCAACTATCCGAGAGGCTCGGAGGCCCGGTCACATGGTCCGAGTCTCAAGCGCTTCTCCTTCTGAGGAAGTGGGCCTGGCGCTCGTGTGAACATGCGCGCTCACTCACTCGCCCTGGGTGTTTCTCAGAATCTTCCCCTAGAATTGTTGGTTTCCTCTTGGTTGCCCATCTGGTCTCACCTCATTCTCCTCGACCTCCAGGTTTGAGGCATCCCGCCGCTTCAGGCTGGCTTTAGCGAGGCAAGCCAACATTTGGGCGTGTCTTTTTTTGCAGGTACCCGCTTTTTGGTGGCTTGAAAGGGAAACCAAATGCAAAAACCACCATTTGGAGGGGGCCCCCATTATCACACATACCCAAATAGGCACCCGAAAATGTTAGGGTTGCCCTCGGCTTCCCTGTCAACAAACCCATTTAACGGGTTCCTCTGGGTTTCCCTTTGCACGGGCTCGTTTCTTGGGAGTGGCCTTGTTATGTTTGGTTTCTAAGGGAAACGGAAAGGAAACCAATGGTTGGGATCAAGGGAGTTGTCTCCAAATCCCAATATGCTTGTACCCTCAAAACAAGTCTCCGAAATGAAAGTCTCAAAACAGGATTGGACTGGTCAAGAAGGTGTCGAAACACGTGAGGCGTATAAATCCTGAAATTATTGCCAATTGAACCACCTGGCAACCAGCTCGTGCCCCAATCATCACGGCTAGCAGAGGGAGGGGAATTGTCCTAACTGGAAAACGTCTCAAGCAATAAGCATTCCGATCGATCAGGACGGCAGTGAAGACAACACAACATACACACACACACATGCATGGTTCTCTTTATTGCACTATTGGCCAAACAAAATGCCGAACTGGGTGAGAGGGTTGGGCTTGGCCTGCACTTCTTTCGCCTGAAGATTTCACACATTCGGAGTCAGTTGGGGGTTCTCAAATAACTTTTTTGGGCCCGCATCCCCACGCAAATTGACACTGACGCGGACCGGGCAAACACCGCGCACCGGGCCTGCGAGGTGGCTGGCGCGATCTCGAGGTCCTTCCGAGCAACAGGGAAGCTTGAAATTCCGAGAGACACCAACGATGCTGGAAGTTCAAAACCTGACAATGTCAGGTCTAGAACGAAGGTCTGGAACGAATGTGGGTTCCGGACCCTGTTCCGGACCTTATAAATTGACTCTCAGCCACATAAGAATTGAATCCCAAAGGATCTGCATCAATGGCAAGCTCGTGTTCCCGACCAATAATTGCCATAGAATATAGCGGCATGGAACTGTGAAACCCCCCACGCTTCCCACAGCCATTTGCTGCAAAGACATCGGGGAAAAGTACATACAAATGGCTGTTCATGGCGAGTGAGTTGAACCCTCGCATTTGCCTGACCGATCAATATCGAGACTGACCTTGCTTCCCCATCGATTTACCTGCAGGAAATGCAACATGCCCTGGCCAAGGCAATGGGACGACGAGCCTGCAGTGCTGTCATTTAGCACGGCAGGTTACCTGATGTTCCAATCTCGAGACGGACAGTTATTCCATTGACTTGGAATTCTTGACAGCCACAAACATATTGATAGCTCGGGGTGCTATCCCTTCGTGTTTTCTGGGCGACCTCCGAAAAGCCCCTCATCTCGTTTTTTGCAGTGCAAAGTACGAAGAAAGTCGTGCTTGATGCGCGTTTGACTCCTCTGCAACTCTTGAGCCGCAGTGCCTGAACAAACTATTTACATTTTGTCCTACACGCCTGATTTGGTTGAGGTTCATGGTGGGTCGCACTATGACCCCTACTAACCAGGGAGTAGATTCGCTTCTAAAATGGTTAACTCCGTCTGAGGATGCCAAACATGAGGAGCCCATTTCTGCTGGGTCGTAAGATCAAGCATGCATCGTGGTGCACACCATATAGAATTTCATTAGAACATATTGGTCCCAATGATTGCGCATCATCGGAGCAAGTCCAGCATGATTGTATTCGAACAACAGCTGAGCTCGTCTCTGATGCCTAACTGCTTACTAAAGGAGATGTCGCGCGAAACAACAATCACCTTTGGTTTGCCTGGGTGGGAACTTAGATCATAAACATATCATATGGGTTACTCGGGGGGGGGTGGAAGGGTCATCAGCCGAATCTCCTTTTCAGGGACCCTGGTTCAACGTTAGCTTGGGTACTTGACACTAGCGCCATCGACTTCCCTCCTCTTAAAGGCCGCCAGGGCAAGCTGTGGCACCTGCCAACGGCAACGCTTCGCCAGGGAAGCTTGTGACCCTCTGGCTCCCTTATGCTCTGGGTCGTGGGAACCCCGCTTCAGATGGATATGGGCAAACATGCAAACCATACAAACGGCTTAACCGTGCTTGGGGCCGTGTTCCCCTTCTCCTCATCCCATAGACAAAGTGGCAAGCTCAAGTCCGTTCCCAAAATAAAGCACCTTCACACTCTCCTTTTTGCTTCACCCCGCCCTTGTGGGGTGACTTGGAGGCTCTGAAACTCCGTGAATCAGCGAGGTTCTGTCCATACTTTCTCATCCAGGCGTCAGGGCAACTGTACGGTTCACCATATCCGAGCTCAGAACTCTTCCCAGCTTGCAGCAAATACAGCCACACGCAGAGCAGGTGAGTCGGCAAGGGCAAAGGGTGAGCAAGCATCGTCGACATCTGCTGGCAGGCAAGGCTTAAGCGCACCTCTGGCTCTTTAGTATCATAGAAACCAGTCAAGAAAGCCGTTGCACCGAGCCTGGTTCCCTTTTGATGTTTCCGTTTGGGTTGGTCGCTTTGAGACAGGGCGAAAACCCTAGGCGTCCTGGCTGCATGCCTTCTGCACCAAACGGCGCTAGGTGTTTGGACTTCATTGCATGGTTGACCGCCCCACCAAAAAGCAAGCTGCCCACCCCTGATGGAGACCACACCAAACGTCAAAACCGCAACACCAACGTGCCATGAGAGATGCAAACACGGCATCACCGTCTATATTTCACGCATTGGTTGCAAATGCATATAAGGGCATACGTCAAACAAAGTCAAGTGAACAAGCTGAGCATGCTGATGGCTACCGCGCTGCTGTGCCCGTTAACCCCGCGTGGCTTGCTAGCGACAGGACGATCCAACATCATTTCATGCCGCTCTGTGGATGTCGATGGTATCCATCTGACAGATGCTCCTTGTGCAAATGAAGGGACCCCCAGCTCTCCGTGTGAAAAACTTCTTGGACCAAACACATGGTTAAACAAGCCTTGATGCTGAACCCCCATGATCAGACGTGAGGGATCTTGCGAGCATCCCCTTCCAAGTGCCTCTCAAAAATAGGGTCACTCTGCTTCCTTTGAAACAACCACCAACATGGGCTCCACCGTTGCGAGACACTGCCCTCTGCCAGGACCCCGCAAAGCTGCCTGGCTCCAGGTGAGGTCGGCTAGGTTCAGGCAGGGCAACTTGAGCTCCTCAGGGAATTTCCCCCAGTTGAGCACATGGGAGCTGCTATCTCCCACCGAAACACCATACTGCACATGAATATCAGGAAAGACACATGTTGACGTCGTCATGGGATATCTGCTGTAGGTATACATGTGTGTGAATAAATATATATATATACACACATCTGATGTACCCATATGTATATATACATACACGGGGACATACAGACATACACATGCATGCAGGAACGCATGCATGTCATTATATGTACATGCGGCAAGCATGAGTGTACACACATGTTCACAATATGCATATACACACACACACATCATACGCCAACTTGATAGGCCTTTGATAGGCACCGCATTTTCTGACAGCAACCGGGCCGCCCGTGCTTCGTGACTGGCAAGTTAGGGAAGCGTCCAAGATACCGTTTAGATTGTGCGGGGCAGCCGAAGAACTGTTTCAAGTGCTCACTATCATCTCACTACCCATCCGTTGTCACGCCCACTCCAACCTGCTCATGATTTGTGAGTCAACACACGTCGGTGCGTCAGGCATGGAGTCAAAACGAGGGACTCCACAATGATTAGGTGTCCTTTCTTTCAGGCACCATCCATGTGTGGGTGAAACATGGGCGAAACATGAGTTGCACAGCGCAAGGACATGGGAGACCAAAAGCAGCCATCCTTTCTCAAATGGCATGAGACAGGCGTTGCCTTTTGAGCCGGTTCTTGCAAAAGAGACCGAGTTTCAGGAGAGTAGAATTCCTCTTCAAGCACTGCCACAAGAACTGCACTTCCAAATTTGAACCATGCCGGCCCGAGCGGCTGCTTCACGAGATCTGAAGGAACCAAGCGAGGAACAGAGCTCTTTGAACATGTCGGTATGGTTTCAATTTGGACATCTCCGAATGCTTGTTCCCGTGGGCCTATTCCACCAAGGCATTTCGTATCAACAGGAAGCCAATGATAGGGAAGCGATTCCCCTGTTCAACCCCCCCTTTAAGCCGGCTCGGTCAACCAGCGCCGTCTCCCACCTGCAAGCGACGTTCTTCAGAGGCTTCCAGGCGATCCAGCAGCAGAGTGTCCGGGCCCAGGTGCCAAATCCTGTGGAGGCGAACCGTAGGCTGACTTCGGGTGGCGGAGCTCTGGTCCTCACGGCAAGGTTCTACTCAAAGGTTGTTTACATAGAAGGAACTTCCATACTGGAACTACTTGAGCTATCTCTCTGTCTCTCTCTCTCTAAGACTATATAGATGCACTGCGCGTTGAACATGCTACGAAAACGTGGCCCTGCGCGTGACTTCGGGTCGCCCGCAAGTGCGCAAACCACCTCGGTCACCACGTCTGTACGGACCTGGTTTTGGAGAGGTTCGGGGACGGGCCCTTGGCATGGCCGCCGGCACTGTTGCACAACCTTCGAAAAGTGAACCCGCTGCAGAATCGGCCCTGAAGTACTCTGGGTTTTCTGCGTTTGCCACTTTCGTGGGCTGAAGATAGAAAGAAAGAGAGAGAGAGAGAGAGAGAGAGAGCGAGAGAGACAAAGAGACAGAGAAATAGTATAAAACCCGACGAAGTCAAAACCGAAGACGAAGAAAGAGCATAACACCAAGAAAGAGCAGAACATGAAATACACAGGAGACAGAGAACGAGCAAGAAGAAGAGAAACAGGAAGGGGGCAAAGAGCGAGAGACAAGGAGAACGAGAAAGGGGCAGAGACCGAGAAAGAGAAAGAGAAGGGAACAAAAAGGAATTTCAAACTAAGTGTTGCGAAAGTTTGGCTAAAGCCAGAGTACAGAGTCCCAAACTCACGAGTGAACAAAAAGCTGCTTTGCTCATTGCTCTTGCCATTGTGCACAGCAGCTGGCCAACGCCCATTTCATGCTGGGCGGCTAGGAGGGTACGGCCCATTTGAAAACAGCTGGTTCCAAAAGCAAACATGTGCAATCAAGCGTTTTCCCATTTGGCCTGCGGTTGTGTGACAATCGCTGACTAATGAGTTCCCGGTGCTGTCTTGAGATGCGGCGCGTTTTGCAACATTGCTAAAGGCCTTTCAACACCAGCCGGCTTTCCTAGGGCTGCTTTTTTTTCCAAGGGGGGTTTCCGCAGGGCTGGCAACATCCCCAGCATCACCAGCCTCAGTTGGCCCCCAGCGTTGCCTACTGGCTCTGAGGCAGTTGGGAGTTGCTGGGGGCTGTTTTAAGCTAGGGGGGGTTTTGGCTAGCTTAGATCTCAGGAGGGTGGGTCTTGGGGTGGTTTGAGGTTGATTTAGACGCGAAGGGCTGACATCCGGGCTGCTGCTGGCGGGTTTACGGTTGACTTTGAGTGGATTTGGGGCTTGGAGCTGATTTGTGTTGCGTGTGCTGCTGGTTAAACGGCTTAGGGTTGCTTTAAGAAGAGTTTGGGTGGTTTGGGGCAACGATCCAAAACCAATCCTAAACGAGACCAAAACTCACGCATCAGCTCCAAGCAAACCCCAAATCCACCCAAAGTCAACCCCAAACAGCCAAACCCGCCCCCCGGCTCCCAATCAGAGCCAATAGGCAACACGTGCCAAGTGAGGCTGGTGAAGCCGGGATGCGGCAAGCCAACCAACCAACCAACCAACCAACCAACCAACTAACCAACCAACCCACCCAGCCCTGGCAAAAAAGCACAGCCCTAGGAGAAAAAAAAGACACCGGATCCCTGGCTTTCAGGCACCTGTGAAACAAAAGATCACCTCTTGGCAATTGCCATCTGGCAGGCAGAATGGACTGCCATCTCCAGCCCGCCCCTCCTGTGATTGACGTCCCGTAGCAGAATCACTTCCTGGGCGTACGGCATTCAGTCGTGACACCGGCCAAGGGAAGCACCGATTTTGTGAAGAGCCGTCCAAAGGCACCAGGCCCATGTCTTGCCTGGGGACAAACACATGATGTGACCCTTGCTGCTCGTCCTAGAAACAACATATTATCAACACAGCAAGATCAATGTTCAAACAATTAATGTGCGGTTTTGACTTGCTAGACGACGTCTTGTAATTGTATTACTACCGGCAAAGCTGCCATTCAACGCTTTCCCAACAATGTGTTTGTGTGTGTGTGGATATCCAACAATGTGTTCAATGAAAATTAGAGCCAGTCAAGCCATCATTCGGTGGCACGTGCCATTTGTTCCTTGTTGTTTCCTCCCAAACAAGCACTCGCGCAGAAACATCTGTTTGTGTGTGTGTGTGTGCGCGAACGAAACCACTCGAATTCATTCTACTTGAGTTGTATCATTCTCCGAGATTTGTTCGTGTGCCTGCGGCAAGCGTGTGGCAGCCCGAGGATCTCAACAAGCAAATGGATTGCCACTTGTGGCTGTGCTCTGCTTCCTCCCAACCGCGCCATCCATGCGTTCGGTACACATCCGGGCCATGGCCATATCGTCCCTTCGTGCCCTCAAGGGATCTTGTAAGGGTCAAGGTACTGACAGTTACGTTTCTCTTTGGGAGTCCCCAGCGGGCAACGGCTGGGAACATGCAACTTATCCTGCCTGTATTCAAGGCCCCGCCTCCCTCAATTCTGTTCTTGCAAAAGGTTCCTACCACCTGCATTAGATATGGGCTTGTATAAACACCCCCATCCTTTCACTACTACTTCTTGATATATTGTCGTTGGTTTTTTCTCCTTGTCGTTTACAGCGTTTTGGGCTAAAGTCCCATTCTGACTGGGAGGATATTCTACAAGCACATATTATGATCAGTGGACTCAACAAGCTGCTTGACACCTAAAGAGAAGAAAAAGGAAACTGCTGCCGTCGGCTTGTTCGTTGCAGCCCTTCTTTTGGACCTTTTAGTACCCATTGTTGTCAATGTGTGTGTGTGTGTGTGTCTGCATATGAATATGTGCGTGGGATATGTCTTCTCTCGACCCCATCCCTTACCTTTGAAACACTTCTGTCAATGCCCCCAGAAAAGGACTCGCGTCTTTGACACCACAAAGCATGGATGCACACACATGCCGCCTGGAGAAAAAGTAACAACATTTGGAGCCACAGCAAGGGAGCAATGGGCTATTTTATATTCATTCAAAGTCCGATGCAAACCCAATAATGTTTACAAACAACAACAATCAATGCCTTTGATGAAACAACAGGGTAGGTCAGGTCATTCATACCAGGCCACCATGGCCACTAGCCGTCACTGTACAATGAAGGCTGCTATCTCTCATTTTCTACTGCATCGAATCACAGTGCCTCACTGACCACTGGCCCGTCTCGCCGGCAATTCAGCGCCCGACGTCAAAGGGGATTGCGAGGGAGTGGAGAAGCCCCAGAGTGGTGTTCAGCGGATCCTAGCGCAGGCCGACTGCGTCTGTGTTGCCTTTCCTGACGGAGAGCGCTTCCCACTTGCCTAAGATATAAGAAGGTAGCCAAAAACAAAACCAGGCGCACACCTACCTAGGCTCTGCCGTTCGCAGTTAAACTGACATCAACAGCAGCTCGGCCAAGAGTCTGCAGCGAGTTGATGCAATACGGTCTCAGTATGTTCTCCTTGGGGCTAACGAGCTCTGGCTCTACATGCCGCGAGCGCGCACCATTTTCGTCCACATCTACTGCACGTACATTTGCCCAGCTCCGAACCATGAGTGAACACGATCCATAATGACTTCAACATGGGCCTGTTAAAGCTCAAACATTTGTGCTGGCGTATGGCTGTAGCATAGAATCATTTTGACCTCGCTTCACGTTAGGTGCCGAATGAATCCTGAAGACAGGGATTCGAGACGGTACAAGGGAGAACCAAAACAGATATTTGCATCCAGCATATGCGCTACAATATGGAATTGAGTTTGGATCATGCGCTGGGCATTGGGTGCCCAAACTCCTTTCCACCCCAGTACAGTGGAATTTGCTCTGTCCAAACCGTGTTGGAACTCCTATCCACCCCTCTTCTCGTACATGAAATAGTAGCAGTAGCAAGGACTGTCGGTGCATGCCCCTCACACTGACATGCAAGTTTAAAACGCGCGGGTTTGAGAAATGTCTTGGTTCACTAAACTCACCTTGCGAGAGATTCGCACATGGCCGAACAATGATCAGAAATCTTTGGTCGTGGGTTCCCATTCGCGCAACTGTGGCCAGAATTTGCCAATTCTGGACCTGTCAAAGTGCCCAGTGGCCGGAGAGCTTACGTATCAATTCTCAAGGGTCCTGGTTCTCAGGCACAGCCAGGAGGCGCAGAAAGAAGCTCCTGGCGCATGCAAACCTGCGATTAAAAGCAAGCCATGTTAGTAAGTCAAATGACTAAGACATGTCTAATATGTAAAATAAATATGCAAACATGATTAGGCCCTACATTGGAAGGGGTGTCTGCTCGAGGCTTCCTTGAATGATCTGGAACAGGGCACGTTGAACAACACATTCAACCCAACTTTGCTGAACTCTCTTCTAACAAAACGTGAACACTGGGAACCCAGAAGGGCCGCCCGCTCGCCCCCCTTTCCCAAACGGTGTGAACGCCCGCTTCCCCGCCCGCCCGCTCACACGCGAACACACAGACGCGCACACACACACACACACCCACGCACGCACACACGAACGCACAGGACTCGCATGCATGAACAGGCACAGACACGCACGCAGGCACATACGCAGGCACGCAAGACGCACACACACACAAACACACACAGACACACACACACACAGACACACACAGACACACACACACACAGACAGACACACACAGACACACACACAGACACAGACACAGACACAGACACAGACACAGACACAGACACAGACACAGACACAGACACAGACACAGACACAGACACAGACACAGACACACACAGACACACACACAGACACACACACACACACACAGACACACACACACAGACACACACACACAGACACACACACACAGACACACACACACACACACACACACAGACACACACACACAGACACACACACACACACACACACACACACACAACACACACAACACACAAACACACAAACACACAAACACACAAACACACAAACACACAAACACAAACACAAACACGCGCACGCGACAACACACACACACTCATCAAGCGAGGCTTTCTCACTGTAAAGAACGGCCCACGCACACCCATACACACACACACGCATACAACACACACACAACACACACACACAACAGACACACAACAGATACACAAACAAACACAGGCACACAGACACACAGACACACAACACACACAAACACACACACACAGACACACACACAGACACGCACACACAGACACACACACACACAGACACACACAGACACGCACACACAGACACACACACAGACACACACACACAGACACACACACACACAGACAACACACACAGTCACAAGCACAGACACAGACACACAGTCACAAGCACAGACACACAGACACACAGACACACAGACACACAGAGACACAGAGACACAGAGACACAGAGACACAGAGACACAAAAACACAGAGACGCAGAGACACAGAGACGCAGAGACACGGAGACACAGAGACACAGAGACACAGAGACACAGAGACACAGAGACACAGAGACACAGCCACACAGCCACACACACACACGCACGCACACGC